GTGTAATTGTCCTAGAAGCAGGTGGTAGAACCTCTGAAGTGGTGACACAAAGTTCAGAATTCATCATGTAATGATGAAGAATTGGAACAAAAAAGAACAACAAAGGTAACTTATAACATAAAACTACAGAAATAAACTGTAGTAAAAAATATTTCCACTTCATATGAAATATTAAAGAAGAAAAATGCTAGACGAGAGCACAATCAAAAAACGTCAGCACTAGAGCACTGCCTTACGAAAAGTGATAGTTTGGTAGAATTGAATTGAGGGAGTTATGTGTCATGAGGATGTGTTGCACTCTATTGGTGGAGAGTTGTCACACGATGATTTGCATGTGAGACACAGTTGAACCCCGATGATCCTGGGGTATGTAGGAGTGCAAGGCATGTGACATATGAAAACATTTTTGCATATAGAGGGTAGCATGAAACTAGAATAGCTATACATGTGAGATGAGATAAGGTACTGTATTGGAATTACTTATTTTCTGTGTAACATGCACAGAGGACACCAGAAGTAATTAATGGGATTCATTGCAATATTGAAGGTATTTTTGTTTACATATTTGTGTACAGCTCACGTTATTAGGGACTATAGAACCAACCACGTCACAGGCCAACAAGCAATTTGGTGCATAAACAGTTTAGAAAAATGTGTTTAAAAAGGTAATTAAGATTATATGATTTTCATTAGCAAGTGAATCAAACAATTACATGATTTTGAACAAATATTATACTAAAGCACAAAATTTACCTGACCATCCACAAAACAAGAAGTACCATTTTTCCAAAAGAGATATATTCCAAAATAAAGAACAACTGAATGCCAAACTCCTTGTACAACCCACTTGACAAATTGTAATTTAGTCATTTTGGAATTTCCTCTGATGTTCCTTTGGTGAAAATGACATTTTATCAATAAATGATTTTCAGTAAAAAAAGCACTTTTGTTAAATGATTATGTAAATTCATGCATATTACACTAATACATAATTCTTTACATATAACCATACAGCTAATGAGCCCAATATGCAAGCTATAGACATAATATTTATCTACAGTAGAAAGTAAAAACTTAATTTTTAATACATCATTAATTAAAAACATTTTGAAATAAATGAAATAACAATTATCCACAATTTAATAATTCTGAATACTAAACTTAAGTTTTATATTTTTTTTCTAACCAAAGTTTTCAATGTCATTTTCATTAAATTCTAGTTTTACAATATAACTGAATGGAACTTTTTAACAAAATGTTTTGCAATGTTAAACTTCAAAAATGATACAAGATTCTATCAACAAAATAGCTAGAGCCAGAAGTATTGTGAAGCACTTAAATGATTCAGGTCTCAGGCCCATAGGCATGGGAATTTTTGCAAGTTCAAAATGTTATTGATCATAGTTTTCTATTCTGATTTTTTAAGATACTATTTGTGGATTCAGAATATTGGCCCCATGTGCCAGTGCCTAGCTATATCTCTGGCAAAAGCTACACTACACTTGAGAGTTTGACAGTCTATTATGCTTTTAATTAAATACTTGTTGTAAACCATAATGTTAGATATACATCAATGTTTAATACAGGAAAAATTAATTAGTTTATATTGTGCGAGCATTAAAGTAAGTTATATTAGAAGCGATAGTTATGGCAAGTTTGCTTACATAACTGTTTATGAATCATCTGCTGTGTAGTTCAATTCTTGCAAATAAATTTCTAAGAGAGTTTGAACTTCTATTAGTTGTTGTTTCTAGAATATTTTTATTGAATAATTGGTTGTTCAAGTTATATGATGATAATCTTTACCTGCTATGACATAAAATGTTTTCTTTAGCACACTATAACAGATCACTACTGAACTGTTAGAAATATCTCACGTAATTACTGCATTGTTAACTGCTAAACAGATTTAAACAATTAGTAGATTTGTACATAATATTAACTTTTCTTTGGCACTTGCTATGTAGGGATGTTCTGCCAACTATTTGAGTACAATAACTCAGATTCAGAATTTGATGGTTTCACTGAAAATGACTTGTAGTTTTGAATATCAAACATAATGTAGCAATAATTAGTTTTATATTTCCAAACATTTCTATACACACATGTAAATAAATCTTAAAAATCACACGACTTAGCTTCTTGATCATTATTACTTCAAAAATCATGTTTCAAGATATTGGAAATGAAGGAAAACAGGAAACAAGACATACCATTGAAACACAATATTTCTATGCATTATTTTTCACAACACGTTTAAAAAAAATCGTCTGGACTGACTGTAAAAAAACCCATTTAAATTTTTTACCACATATTATAAGCACCTTAACTTAGTATTAAATTAGAATTAAATTAGTATTCTATTCAGAAAATTATGGGTTACCTAACACTGGTAAAATCTTATCTACATGTGTAAAAAAGTTTTCCTGCTACTTTACCAGTCAATGTTGGAGCCCTGAAATGTCCAACACGAAGAATAACTATTAAAGTCACCTACATATTACCAGCTATTTTAAAACTCTATCTAATGAGAATTAAGTGGTTGTGATAAATGTCAATCATTTACAGTTGTGGTATATAAATATACCATGTATTTTTAACCTCCTTGTATTAACATAGAACTTTTTCAAAATTTGTTGCATATGCAGTTTCTACGTAACACATTGATCAAGAATGTTGTTAATTTCCTCTAGCTCTAGAAAAACTACTGTTCTGTATCATTCACCAAGAGTAGCATCTTTTGTCTTCTATGGGAAAGGTCACCTGTAATAAGTAAAATTAGACAGTTATCTTTTCACCTAGTAGTCTGGCGATCACATTAGATAATGATCCCTCTTATGTTTCATTAGAAATGATGAGTCATTTTGTTACTGCTGGTCGTTCTGGGTAAGTTTGGCAATAATGGGTTAAGCAAGTAATGTAATATTTAGTCAGTGTGAAACATGATTTCAGCAGATACAGTCTGGAACACAATTTCAGCAGAGTTGGTCTTGCTTGCAACCTCCTCTGAATAAGTTAAAATGATTTAAACCTAGTTCTCCAGTAGAGGTGGCTGTTCATTGTGTTTGTTTAAGTAAAGACTGTTTATTGTGATTGTATATTTATGCTTAGTCTTTCTTTAAATCTCATGAACTCAGATAGTCAGAGAACATAGAAGTTAACATTTTCCTAAACTGAAAATCCCACACTGAACTGGTGAAAGGCTGGTGAAAACAATTATCTACCTTTAGGAAGCACCGAATGAGAGACCATGAGGTGTAGAACCAAATTAAAAATTTCACATCTTAGCAGTAGACTGCACCACATCTGATCCACATATACTCTTTGTTCTTTTATGACTGTGTCTCAAACATTAAAGGCAGAAAAACATGAAGGAATTCTATAATATGTATTACTGATTAATGGGATCCCTACTGTAGTAGTAAATCGACCACATCCAACACCTGGCAGAATCTGGAATTGTACATAAGTTCTGCAGTAGACAGAGGTTCACCTACCTCCTCACCTCAAAATGGAAATTTGTAGAGAAGACAAGCTTCTGTACCAAAATACATCTCCACTTACATGCATTTCCAACCCAACCAACACCTGATTCAACAACTGACATCTAGTAGATGGTAGGAAGGAGGAAAGACCCAGTAGGATGACATCTCCAGTCCAAAACCTGACAGCATTGGGTATGGTTCTTCCAGGCCACTGCAGGTGGCCAAAACATGTGAAGACTTACTTAGCTGGACCATCTCCAACTAACACCTGCCCACCCCCAGAACCACATCTGGAGGATGGTAGGTAGAAGGAATGTCTCAGTTTGAGGGGCAAACTATAATAGATATAGATCTGTAGCAGAGTAACATGGCAGAGTGCTTCAAACAAAACCTGGAATTCTACATAAGGTCCGCGGTAGGAAGGGCATCATGCCATCAACACATGATTCTAATCATGACCAGGCTATCTCCAACCATTGGAAATGTACATCCGTAGGATGGTAGGAAGGAGGAATGCCACAGGAGGAAAAGGAATCTGTCATATGTTTATTCATTAATATGCCGTAGTGCTAGAACCAATACCTAGCAGTACCTGGAATTGTATGTCAGGTCTGCGGTAGGAAGTGCTATATGCCATCGATATCCACAGAGTGCCACTGCCCAACTCTGAACTGAGTGGTATGATGCATCACTTAGGAGAAGAGGCCTCCTTGGTCCACCACCCCAGTGGCTAGGAACTGAAAAGTGGCAAGGACTCCCATACTACACTAGAAGAAAGGAGAGAAAAACACATTGGAGAGTCTAGAGGACAACATCACCGGAGGCAGTGCAAAAGATGACTGCAATACCCTATTTTGAAAAGCAGAGCTACCACGTTGATGGAGGCGATCAACCAACACCCAGTGGCATTTGGAATTGTACATCAGGTCCATGGTAAAAAGAGTAGATATGGGCAGCAAACCCTGTCGGCTTTACTCATGTGTGTTTATGAGTGTATGGTCAGGGACAAACAAAAGACTACTAGAGAAAACAACTACAGTAGTCTATCTTAGATAAGATCGACCTATCTGCCATGATAAAAAAAGTCGCATCTGACAGGAAGTCGTTATTCAAAGGATCATTAACCAGATAACATATGACCGAGTTCAAGCTGTGCCAGTTGCTATTCCCAGGGGTTGAGCATAATGGTTTATATACTGCATAGGTAATCAGACAATGTAGCAAGTTGGTACGCTGTATAATAATAGTTATGATGGATAACAGTTCAATAAAGATAACTTAAAATTGTTTTGTGTTTTATGTAAAATAATTTATTCATCAATCATATTTATTTCATGTGCATCCATGTATCACATTTTTATTACATACATATAAAATATTTAAAACTGACAAAATTTATTTCATAAAAAGTTGTACATCTTTCTTTGTTTTGCACATTTAATGAAGTCACTTTGAATGTTCATGAGCGAGGCTGTTATTATATCCAGAAGCATTTTGTTGTTAGTTTTCAGCACATGATTTTAGCATTAATTTATAAGAGAATGTGCAACAAATGTCGAGAATTCTACATCAGAGAAACTGGAAAAAAATTGGAAACCAGATTCGCCAACATAATAAAATAACAACCTATACTTATATTTATCACCATTGCAACTAAAAAAATCTGCAATATATGTATACAAAATGCTGTAATTTTAAACAAAGAAACAAACATCAGAAGCTACGTATCTTAATTGATCAAGACAGCCCCACCCTAAGCCAAAACTTCACCTTGAAACTGAAAAGGGACCATTCCACAAATTTAAAAGAACCAGTAAAGAAATAACAATAAATATCTGAACTAAATTATTGCTAGACAATACCTAATAAGGTAATCTTCTCTGAATACAAATACTATATAAAATGTAATACGTTGCAATAAAACAATTTCAAGTTGACTAAAAATTCTCTAATTTCCATGTTTCGTTTATTTTGTTGCTTTCATCACAACTTTGGCCTATATCAGCGTCCACTATATCAACACTTCCAGCCTTCTTCTTCACAGTGACTTACTGTTCTCAGTTTCAGACATTCACAGTTTTACCACATGCCTTGAGGCATTCTATTAGCCATGCCTACTGCACAGATTATCTAGTCTGTCACTCAACAAGCCGCGAATTAATAATCTTCACACCTCGCTAGTAAATACTAATCAAGTTACTTAATGTCTAGACCAGTAGCTCAAAACCTACTACATTCGCTAAAAGAATAAACGGGGAATAAGCGGGGCAAAGACAAACAACAGTTTCTGACCACCCTTGATTACCTTTTAGGACCTGAAAGTTTTTAAACCAAAATACCTACATGTATGTACCAAGGAGTTCGACTTGAATTCTCCAGGGTACCAAGATACATATACTAAGCAGTA